GGTATTGTTTCATCAATCCTTGTGGTGCCATTCCTTACAGTATCCCATCAGTCCTTTCCCATCTAAATCTAAGGAAGGAGAAATTTGTGGAGAGTGCTGCAAGATTCAGAGCAAGGCATGGTGGGAAGAGCAGGCTGGTTGAGGTCAACACTGACTACAGCAACATAGAGGCCTAGTTGCACCTTGAGTGTTAGTCTGTTGGTGAAATGCTGTGTGTGTGCTGCAATAGTGAAACAACATGCTGCTTTATACTTGCAATACAAAGATACAAAGCAAATCTTTTGCAACTCAGGAAGCTGTTGCAATGAAGTATGGGTGGGAGGATGTGTACAGTGGAAGGCCTGCAGGAGAAGCTTGGTTTGCCAAAGGGTTTAAAACCAGTGTCCAGCAAACAAGTCACCACCACACACCACAAAGAATATATGTACATTGATATTGATGTAATGTATTACATAGGCTTAGTGCTTTTGCCTATGCAGTGGTGCAATTTCAAGGGAAAAAGGTACTTGGGTGTTGTGTACAAGACATCACCAAACACCACAAAGAAGATATGGATGTTGATATTAGTGTAATGTGTTACATAGGCTTAGTTCTTGTGCCTATGTAGTTGTGCAAGGCCAAAGGAAAAGGTACTTGAGTGTTTTCTTTCCAGGGTGAGGACAGGTGTATGCCTTTCACCTGGCACATGGGACCTTCTGTTGCTACTGTTTGCCAATGGCTTCCTTGACATGTATGAGCCAATACTGTATTTTCCTTGACATGTATTGGGTATGTGCCAATAATTTCCTTGACATGTCTTGGATGGTGGTACCATTTACCATAGTTTCAAAGTAGACTGCAAAATCACCAAAAGGTGGAGTGGGGTTAGAGCCCATATAAATACATGACATCTAGCTGCGCACCACTTCTAAAGAACAGAACTCCAAGCATATTGTTGTTGTGGGCAGCAACTGCTGCCTTTGGGCACTGTGTTTGCCAAGGCTGGTCAGACTGCTCCTGAATGCAACCCAGCTCATGACAGCAGGCCTCTCTACTGGGTTGAGCTTTCCAAAGCAGGAGACATGTGGTTGCTATGCAAAGATGATTCCCTGGTCGCAGGCATCAGCAATGTTTTGAAACCTTCACAAGTGTGAGTATTGCAAGGTTTGGGTCAGGGGCAACCAGCTGATTGCACCATGCCACAACCACAATTAACTTTCTACTCTGAGCTTTTCATTGCTAAGGTGGACAGCCCAAGCTGGTGTGGCCCAAAGATGCTCCATGTGTGAAACTCTACAGCAATGGGAAGTATGCTGTCAAGGGCCCCTCTCCAGAGAGGTATGTGGTGGACATGCAAGAGCTCTATGAGAAGGATGCTGCCTACCAGCAATGGCTGGTGAAGCTGGAAACCTGCCAACCTTTCATGTTTCAAGTTTTTAGTGCAGTGCTGTTGCACTTCCAATCTTTTGAGGGTGTGGATATCTCTATGTATTTGTATGCTTAGGTGTTTGTTGGGTTGGCACCATGTCTATAAGCCTGGCAATTGTTCATGTCTTAAGTGAAGTGTTTAGTGAAGTACTGTTGCACTTCCAATCTTTTGAGGGTGTGGATATCTCCATGTATCCCTATGTTATGGTGAAGGTGTTGATTACTGACTGCAAGGTCTGCACTTGTACCAGTGCTGGAGTGGTGGGAGATTGGATCCATTATTGGGATGAGACTGTAGCCTGACCTATAGTATAGAGTGGTAGGTGGTTTGGTGCTACTACTTGGCAAACCAGGTTGCCAAACCTACCCAAACCATCAAACTCAGGCAGCCACCCAGTCCAACCAGCCTTGATATGATCAATGATGAGTTCAAGAGGGTGCCCTGGCTAAAGATAGTGTGCATCCATGTGTGTGGTTGAGTTCACTGCTTTGTTTGTTCAGGGGTGGACATGTAGGGGAAACACCCAAGGACCACACTATAGATAGCAGAGGGGCAAGCTGTCTGTGTGAGAAAAAAGAAGGTCTGTGCTGCAGGCTCATCCATGCTTGTTTGCATGCAAGAATCAATGACCAGCACCTTGGAGTGTGTTGCTTTGTTTTGGACTGCTTGGACTGTTTGTTGCATTCAGCTGAGGTAGCAAATAACAAACACAAGTGTGGATACTGGATAAGGTTCTTTCATATGACAATGTTGTCAGCCTAAGGAAATTGAAAGCAGCTGTGTGGAAACCTAGGCATGAAAACAAATCAAGTGTCTTTTTATTTGTAGCATCAGCAACAAGTCATGGACATAGGAGATGATGCAGACTTGCCAGCAGCCATTGGGCATGAAGTGTTTGCGCCCCACTCGCATTGGCAAGTCCCTGGTTCTTTTAGTGCAGGAGTTTTTTTTGTGCAGCAGCCAGCTCCTGATGTGTTGAGCATGCATCCCAATCCAGTGTCAGAGGCCTTTGCCTTGTTTAGCCCAAGTGGGCCACCTGTCCACAATACAGGTCATGCATTTCCTACACAAGAAGTCCCACATGCCTTTGGTCTGCCTAGCCCATGTTTGTCAACTGTCCACCATGTAGCTAGTGATGCTATGTCGGACATAAGTGGCATGAGTTTTCAAGATGCAAGCCATGCATTTGCACCAGGACCATTCCAAGATGCCTTTGCTTTGCCTTCTGAGGGGTTTGGTATCCCAGATGAAAGCAACAAGACGAACATGTGAGGAAGCATGGTCAACATTCCTACATTTCTGCGTTTCAGCTGTTTTGCTCCCTTCAGACAAGTGCAAGTTTGTTAGCGTGCATCAACTTGACTCTGCGCTGGAAGCGTTTGCTGAACAACAGTTCTTGGATGGTGGCTCTAAATATGTTGTCACCTGTGCCTTGCAGAATTGCAATATCGTGTATCCTATGTGGCCCACTTCAAGTCGGACCAACTATCCTTTGATGACTAAATCTGCCAAGAAGGGATGGTCCAATCTGGAGCCGGGCTCATCACGCGACCCCTGTCCTTTTGAAGTAGCATACTGGATAGCCTATGACATGCTGTGTCGTGGTTTGCCCTTCTTTGCGGCTGCTGTGTCTAGCCTTTGACACCTACCTCCGACCGAGTCGTGTTTGCACTCTCACCGCCGACGGGCCGACAATGTCATTCCCTCCTTCCAAGGTGGGCGAGTTTAATGACAGCCTGGTGGTGGGGTCGCCTGGGCGAGAGTGGATCGGCGCTTCGCTGGGCCGCATTTACACTCAGCATGTCAAGCTTTCTGGTTGTGCCTTGTTTCCCTTATCCTTGGCGCAATTTGAAACACAGTTCAAAAACTCTGTTTGAAATCTGAAGATTCAGAAGCTAAAGCTTACACCGCACTGTCTTAGACATGGCGGCGCGAGCCATGACTACCTGATGTCTCACCATACTCTTCAAGATATACAGCAGAGAGGATGTTGGGGATCTTTTGAGTCTGTCAGACGGTACGCCAAACATGGTCGAGTCTCGAAACAACTTCATTTGCTGACTTCGCAGCAACAACACGCCGCAAAACAGGCCTCGTTGGAGCTACCTGCTGCATTGTCACGTGCATTCCAGTAGCCCTGTTTTCCTTTTTGCAGTCTTACCAATTTTGGAAAGCGTTTTGGAATTGTTTCAAAAACTTGCGTTTGTGTTTTCCGTGTGCGCACTCGATGAATGGAACTGATCCAGAGCTGACTTCATGAGACCAACACTGTCTCATTCTCAGCTTCACTACTTGGCCCTTTGAGTTACAAAAGTGGTCAACGCGTGCCACTGGTGAAGCGGCATCGCTTTGCATGGGATGCACAACTGGGCAGCATGATTTGAGCAGTTGGGCAATCTCTAAACATACCCCTACAATAGATGAACACTTAAGTTGCATGGGCCGCACGTGCATTTGAATCGGGTTGGACATGGTGTCTTTTCAGCACTCCTACTTGTAGCTTCCAACTACTTGTACTAGGTCTTTTAGATTTTGGGATGTTTTGGGCATCATATTCGGGGGTGTGCAAGAGTTTTCAAATCTTCAAGGGCCCCAAGAGCTTCCTTGAAGAAGTGTGAGCTATCCTGCATCCAGTAGGTAGTAGCTTCTTATTGCTAGTAACTTACCTCTCCCTTACTTCATTAAGTAGGCGCCCACTTAGTTGAGTAAGGAGGCAGGGCCGCGGGCTTAAGCAAAACATATGCCGTGTCAGGATTATTTGGATAACCGTCTTTGTACTTTACTTCAAAAGAAACATCCGGAGTTTTGTCCCGAAACGCACTCCTGCCGTGTGACTTGCTGTTTTGGAGGCACCGGCCATCAAAGAGAAGTTCCGGGAGTTTGCCATGCGACATGCTGATTTGACCTTCAAGTATGAATCTTGACAAAACACAGCTGAAACTTCCTAAGCTTGCCTCAACAAATCATTGCTGAACATTGTGCTGGGTATATACAACCAATCTTGGCCATGTACCCTTGGAAGACCACAGGTTTCTCGCTCCCCAAGCCTTGCGTCACTCCGGGAATCTTAGACCAGACTAAGTGGCAAACCACAGGAGTGACGACCCAGACCTGAAGCGGTCGGTGAATCCTGAATGGTTGGATTGCTCAATTGGGACCTCTCCTAGGCACGGCTAGGATGGTGCTGGTTGTGTCTGGTGGTAAAAACACACACATATATATATATATATAATATACATACCACTACCGAAAACCTTCGGATTGCTGGCCCAAAAAGGAGCTGGCTGAGTGCAATATACAACAAACTCTGTTTGTTCGGACCGCATGTGGGGTTCTCCGAAGCACCCGGATGGACATCTAGTCCTGCCAGATTGTCTAAAACACAGCGCATCCAACCAAACGTTTGCAGACTGTGGCCATGTGAGCGACCCGAGAGGTTGTTAGTGGAATCGCTCTGTGGTGTGCAAAACGCTAATACAAAGATTTGTCTCATCCGTATTTGCCTCTAATCAGCCTCCAGCAGCTTGCTTTTGATCAAACACGTCGGGCCCACCCCAAACTCCATCGTCTGTTCATTTGTGCGCAGTCGAGTTCTGCATTCATCAGCGACACCAGTGTCAGGATGGCTTTTTCCATTGGGGCAAGGTGGACCTGGCCTTCCACAAAGGGGACAGACGAAAAACCTTGCAGGAGAACATTGCCAAGAAGTGCCTTGTTTCAAAAGCATGAAATCGTCGAGAACTGTTCGGATCCACAGGTTAATCCAAGAAGGTTTTGATATATGTTTTCCACTTTTGTTGTCTCCTTTTCATGACGATCACAAAGCAACTCACTGTATTTCATCGGAATTCGGTTTTTCAGACTTCAAACGGTGATTTCTATCATTCAAACACCACGGTGCTTGCGTGAATGTGTGTGGGTCAAACACCCCATGGGATTCCTGTCAACTCTTCAAGTGTCCGCCTCAGCACTTCAGCAGCTTGCTTTTGAAGATTCCTTAGTTGGTCCTATGCTGCATCCGGGCGGCGCTTCCTTCCACCCGGTTTGCCTAGACTGCATGGACTGGTTCGGAACAGAATGTTGGAAGAGGATTTCAGAGTAGGACCATCGGAACATGATCCTGACCAAGAATTAGTCCTCAGGTTTGCAGGGCAGATTGTAAAGGGAACTGGTCAAGCTGTTTGCCATGCCAATGCATCCAGATGGCACGCATCCACATCCAACTTTGTTTACACGACCAAAGTCACAGGGGTAAGGTAGCAATTGAAATATGGGAATCGGGACAGAGCAAAAGCCTCCCTGATAAAATAGCCGTTTGATGTGGGCAATGTTGGCGTCCGGCGGTACCGTGGTTCACCCCCTGGAATCTTCTCTGGCCGAGAATAGACGAAATCCGCCTCTCACAGGGCCAACCAGAACCTTCACATTCCGCTACCTCTATGTTTCAAGGAGAACAGTTTCTTCGCATTCCAGACCCAAAAGACATCAAAAGACTAAAACATGTACTGTAGGTCAAGTTCTTCCCGGATCCCTATATCGTCGAGCTACACTCCTTGTGCCGCTGGCAAAGCCCAGTTCAGGTTCGATGTGAAGGAGTTTGCTGGATTGAAGAAGGAGCTCGATCCCCACAATGTCCTGGGGAATGACATCACGGATGCCGTCCTTTGGGGCTAATGACCTCAGAACACACTCTTCGCTGAAGAGTGACTGGATGATCAGTCGATCAGCCATATCAATCCGATAATGCAATAAATGGTCAGGTGCAGGAAGGTCAGCGTAGCCTGAACACGTCCCCAAGCAACTCACAGGTGGGCTTAGAAGTTAATGTATGTGAGTATAGTATGATGTTTCTTTTCAGGGGGAGAAAACCGCACGATAGATCCCCAAAGGCTCTGTAGCGTAGAAAGACTGTATGTAACATATAGGGTTATTCAGATTATTCTACTGAGTACTGCTTGGAGCCATTTTTGGCAGAAATCTACTACGGGTTCTCCTCTCCAGAAAAATCCACAATGATCAGGACGACTACTGTACTCCACGAATGATATGAAGATGAGATGACTGCTTGGAGTTTCATGTTTGGGCCTGAGTCAAAACCCAGTATAAACTGGATGAATATGTTTGGCTTCGGAAGAGGTTAAGAGGGTCCTTGCTTGGAAGCTTAGTGATCTAAACGGGGTGCATACAACCTACACCAATTTTCAGGGGATCATCTTGGCGCGAGTATGTGCAACACACTGAGTTGCCTGATCATCCAATTAGCAAACAAGAACAGGATTTGTCTTTGGTATGTGTGTGTGTCACAGACACAATGCACAGCTAGCTTATTGATGACTGCATTTCTTAAACACTAAACGAGTCAGAGTCTGTCAGAGGTCACCAAAGACAGCTAGGTGCCAAAGACTGCTTAATGCATCAAAGCTGCTTGGTGACTGGTGGATGAGGGCAATGCCTATGACTTCGTAGGGCATTTCCACGTTCAGAAGCCCATCCGGCTGAGTGATCGCATGTGTGTCCAAAAAGATGTTCCCATGCTCACCCTCAAACCCTGCAAGACCTGTGGGCAGACGGGGCTAGTGAATCTGTTTACGGGGCCATTTGGTATTGGATGAAATTTTGCTCGTCTCGCGCTTGCCACTGGCAGTATTTGCGGACCATTGGAACAGGGTTTTGCCGGACAGCCAACTCAACTGGTAATCATACCAAAAGAATGCCAAAGGGCGCATGCTTTACTTTTATTTTGCGTACATACATATATATATATATTATACAATGATATATGCAGCAGTTCCTCCCACATTCTTTTTTATAGTAATTACGGAAAGGCACCCCACATAGTATAAAAGCAGAGGATGACAATCCATAGTCCACTTGCAGGTTTGGCAAGTCTCAACCTAATTGTTGTAATGGTTTGTAATTGTTTGGTTCAACCTTCTAGAACGAAACCTTTGATTGAAGACCACCAAAAGTTTGTGCGGAGGAAAATATGTGGTAAGTATGTGAGATGGCCTCGAATTGGGAGGTTCCCTAACAAGCGAATGTTAATTTTCTTTCCCACTAAATAGGAACTTTGGCTAGAACGCACCACTGACGTACACAGCCAAGCTAATTACTCTACCTGGATTGGGTCGCAGGCCATGCTTGAGATGCTCCGATGGTTCGCAAGCACCCAGATCCGAAATGCGTGGAGCCCTGTTTTGGGCTTTCCTCGATCAGTTGCAGGACGTTGGTGAACCTGAGATGGATTCTGAGCATCTCTGGCCTTTAAAGGACTTGTTGGAGGTCTAGGAAGAGGGTTTTAGCATTTTTGTTCGACTATGTCTTTGCAACTCTCAAGCAACAACTGGCGCTGTGAGGTAAGTGTCAGACAACTGATGTTGCTTTGCAACTCTTCATGCTTGTGAGCCAGTGATGGTGACATATGGTGACCACGGCTGTGCTCGTTAAGTTTACTTGGGCAGTGTCAAATGAACCCGGGCCCTTGTAGGTAACAGGCACATACGAGAAACGTTGGAATCCTTGCACATTTGCTCTTAGTAAGCGCATTGATTGCTATGCTATATTTGTAATTAGCTATCAAATAGACTTTCAATGATTTCCGTTAATGATACAGCAGACTCTGTAGACACACTGTAGACTGTAGACTATGCCTATGCATAGAATAATAGGGAGACTTTCAGAGGCCCCTGGCAAAAGGAAAAGGGACGAATAGACTGTATACTACAACTAGACTACAACCATTGGTTGGGTGGTCTCCAAATTACCAAAAAGACATCCAATTTGGCGAGTTCACCGGGTGCTGTTTCCCTTTCGCTTTGCTTCGAGGTTGCGGTTCTTGCTGGGAACATCGCGACTGCAAGCCCCATCTCCGACATGAACCCTGTGCGCCACGCGCTTGCGCAGAGTCCTGCGAGTCCTGCGGGCAGTCCTGCGGAGTCCATGTGCCCGGGAGTGGAGCATGCACTTGTTACTACTAGCTTCTTGTAATTAGTAGTAAGGCACCTGTTACTACTAGCGTGGCACTTGTTACTACTAGCGATGCACTTGTTACTAGTAGCGTGGCACTTGTTCCTAGTAGCTTCTTGTTACTACTAGTAAGGCACTGCACTTTTGATCCTTTTCACGTCTCAACATATCCGATTGGTTTCGTGAACATGGACGGTGAAGGGACGTGAAGGGCGAAGGGTGAGGATTTCCAATCTTGATCCATGGATCCAAGGGGAAATCCAGAGAGACTGCACATTGAATCGCAACCCTAAGCCAAAGCACCAATGAAAAAGGACGGAACAATGCCGCAGGGATAGAGAAGGTATCTGAGTCAGTTCAGGCCCAGGCTGTTGGTATTCAAAAGGCAAAGCCAGTCTTTGGCCATGCGCCCAACAGACATCTCCAGATTTGGTTTCTTGAACGCTTACCGTTGTGGTCGTATTCAAAAACATCAGGATGGTTGGCTTGCAGCAATTCGATAGTGGATGTGGACACCAAACCTCTCCCCATGGACAACAGTTATATACTCGTCGTGAAGAGAATACATACCGTCATCAAACATCAACGTCCAAAAACAGCAAATGCAAGCATGTTAGACAATTCTTGTTTCTTTAAGCTCTAAAGCGGGCGAGACCAGCCGGTACAGCAACTATGCTACAAAACGACGTGAACTGAACAGACAAAGAACATGACACCCACATTGTGACCCGAACATGTGTGAATGAAGGGCCAATTCTTGCTTCCTAAATCTTCCTCAACTGTATATTAACCGTACTCTTCAGTGAACCTCCACTTACCTTTGTGGGAGCAGATCCTATTGACCAGTCCTTTTTTAAACTTAGTCTAAAGTCTAAACTGTTCACCAGATTTTTGTGTCCGCAATCTTGGAAACTGATCCTGAGGGTGCTGGCCAACAAAAAGTAAGGGTAGGGTGTACATGCTGGCTTGCTGGTGTCAAGGTACTTATGGCCCTAGATGCATCTTTGATTTTGGCATCTGCTAACCAAGCACCTCGAGAGGCGGGTCTCAGTCAGCCGGGATACGTCCAGAAGTCTAGGTCCGGGAGGCAAGGGTCAGATAAGGAAACCACCTGCACCATGCAAGCTTGGGTTCTTGACCTGAGGATCTGTGTAGATTGTAGACCTTACTTGCCACTTACTACACTCAACCAAATTTGGCATATGCACGCTTTCAAGACATTTCATCTCCCACCGCCGGGCTAGCATCTGGTCTAGGGCTTTTCTAATGTTTTGCAATCAAGGGTAGTCAGAGGATGAACTTCATCGAGGGCCTTTAGGTTTTGTCTTTGGAGTTTAGGATACTGAGCTTCATGATACTGGCTCCAGCGATCCTATACCCAAACGCCATCCAAAGGCTGCATCTAAAAATAGATGCCACTTGTTGGCTAGATTGTGACAATTTGCGCAGGTCACACACACACACACACCCACCCTGCATTCCTTCAACCCACTGTGTGGCATTGATTTGCAATGCTAACTACAGTATCAGTGTTTCGTCGCCAGCTGGGGTCTTATCCTTGGTGCACCTCGCCGAGCGAAGCCTTTGAGTGACTGCCAGGTTCTCATGAAGGACTTCTTCAAGAGCTATCGGGCTGGAATCTGAGCTCGGTGATGTTTTTCAGGAGTGAAGGATGATTCGAAGAGTCTGGTGTCGTTGCATGAAATCTGGTGTCGTTGACCGACTGAACCTTGGGGTGACCAGTGACTATCACCAAGTACCTCGTCTATAGCTTACTAGCTTATCTGTATTTATATAGAAATTGGATCAGCTACCGCGGCGACAAGAGGCTTCACTGGTTCAGGAGAACAGTGTTCATCAAGCGGAAATTCCCACAGGATCAGGATGCACTGTGTTATAATATGGCACATAGATGGAACGGCTTGTATTGAGAATGCAAATCTCAACCCCCCACACAAACCTACTACTCTAGCAGTTATATATATAATAGTTATTTCTGGTGACCTGATGTATGCTGTATTAGTGGCACAGTTTAAAGTTTAAAGTTTAAACATCACCTACTGGTAGTCAAGACATGGTGAAGGTGAAGGCCCTGGCGGTTCCCAGGCACTTCCTCCACATAGGTGGGGTGGATCGACATATTCTGATGTTTAGTCTAGGCCTAGAAGGTGGCTCTCCTGCTTGTGGCGGACAGAGTTCCTGTCAGCCAATGTACTGTAGGATCACAAGGAGTCTTGTAGCTGCTCTTTGCATACCCTCTGAGGTTCAGTGTTTGCCGGTGTTTCAGCTGGAATTGGAAGGTCCAAGAGTACCTTCAGAGGATACAGGTGGGTCCACAGCTGGTGGGATCTCTGGACTTCAGCACAGAGCTTCACAGCATCACCGATGTGCCTGCTCGACCAAGGTGGTCGACATGCAACCGGCGGAGGTCATTTGTGCCATCAAGGCGCATGTTCTTGCCATTCTGAGTGCTCAAAAAGCATGGCTTTCCTCGCAGATTGCATGAAACAACAAGCAAGTCTGCTTCCAGCTTGACGTTTGAGATGCCTTCCTGCTCAAAAACCGGTTCTTCAGAGAACACCTGGCTTCAAGAGGTCTTGGATGTTGGTTTTGGGAGTGTTTCTTCAAGAATCCGTGCTGCAGGTTGTTTGCCTTCAGAACTGTTGTACAGGAGCGCCCAGATAGGATCCCTACGGATCCCTGATCAGCTCAAATCGGGCTCCACACCACTAAGATAGAACATACAACTTCATACAACTTTTAGGTCCTTTTAGTTGATTGGTTGTGAAGAGCAAATGAGCATGGGAGATGAGCAAATGTTCGAAGATGTGTAAATTACACTTGGTTCGAGTGCCCGCAGCCCAGCATCCTCAACGATAGATTTTTCTCTCTGCCCGTCAGAATCTACGGCTCACAATGGGCCACACTCCCAGCCCATTTCCTTTAAAAAGACCAAAACGGTTTGATGCCAAGTTGCTACTTTTCTGACGCCAAACGTGGAGATCAGGTGCCTGCGGTGGAGGACAAGTTCGAGTTCGTCCGCAGTTTTAAGCAGGCCGGGCCGGCCGTGTAGTAGAAGTGCGGGAAGGATGTCCAGCCAGCTGGTGCTTTTCTGTCGTATTTTGATGGGAAAGTGTCAGTTTCCATGTATAAAAACACATCCTTGTGGATCCCCAATCTTTGAACGGGGCCAAGTGATGCTGGGTGACCTCATTCGACTGGCTTCGACAAGTCGACAACCTCCGCCTTTTGGGATCTGACATTCGCTCCACTCAGTTTAATCGATCCCCACATAGCTCTTCTATCTCTTTAAAGAACTAAGCGGTAATGGTCCAGTTGAACTTGATCCTTAATCTCCAGTATAGGGTGTTTTTTTGAGAAGATCTAGCAAAATGAGCTCATTATATAACGCTTATTGACCTCTATGGTTTATCGATAGTAAGCTGGCAAACCACTGTGAGGTTGTTTTCTGCATCAGGTGATGCTTTTTTGAAGTGATCGGACCTAGACTGTAGACACATGTCTACATCACCGTGCAAACCTTCAGTTTGGTCTGAGTCCGCAGCCGCTTTCGGCACAAACACGGACAGACTGAAGGACTGACCGGATGATAGAGGCTGCTGAAATCCCGTAAGGATGCACAACACCTGCAACCTCCAAGCAATCGCTGAAGTTCATGCACATCACTCAGTTTGTTATGCGACCAGTATCGATCTGAACAATCTTGCTACAGTAGTTGGTTGCTCAAGTTTCAAGAAAACATCAACCACATATAAATTATAAACATCAAAAAGGATAGGATGGGCAATATAGCATTGATAAAAAAAGGTTCTTGTGCACCAGATTCCGATCGAAACCAACCTGTACCACTTGCGGTACACAGTACTTAGTACTATGTGATTCATATGTTAGAGTTGATATTCTTTAAAGCTATTTAGTATCAGCTGGTGTTAGTGTTCTCGGAACTCCTGCATCAAGGATGACCAAACCAGCAACATTCCAAATGTCAGCAGCAAGCCGGGTACCCCTCGTCTTCAAAAGGTGGGCGAGAGCTGACCTTTGGACCCTGCGGTCAGAGTGTAAGCAGACTGAGACTGCAAGAAGTGTCGTTATCGGAAATTGCACTTCCAAAAGTCATCCACCGGAGCTGCACTCGCAACTTGACACCTTATTATTCTGACCTTTTGAGTTGCTGTCAGATGTCTTTTTTCCGCAGGCAAATTCGCATAAACAACCAAACATACATCTTGGGCCACTGGCGGAAGGGATGGAGACATTCACAAAGCTCAAAGAAGCTTGAGCTCTGACTGCTCTGACTGCTCTTCACCTACCAACCTTTAATTTTAATAGCTTCTTGTTACTACTAGTAAGGCACTTGCTACTAGTAGCGATGCACTTGTTTCTACTAGCAACCTCCAACAGGGCAAACGCTTCCGACCTTTTCTGACTTGGCCTTTCCGCATTCCTCGCAAGTGCATTCGCAAGTGCTGGTGGATCCTTGATGGAGCGTCGGGCACTTCAAGTGGAATTACTCTGCAGCCGAGGCTGTTTGGCCCCGGAGGAGCGGACGATTCAAAGACCAGGGATGATCTACTAGTAGCTTCTTGTTGCTAGAAGCTTCTTGCTACTAGTACGGCCAGGAGCCCCTAGTAGCGTCCTTGCTCCTAGTAGCGATGCCAGGAGCCCCTAGTACTCGTAGCTTCTTGTTGCTAGTAGTGATGCCCTTGTTACTATTACTGTAGTGTTGCTTTCCCCATTTCGTCTTGGTGGGACGTTTCTTGAGTTTCGACAACAGATGCAGGACATTGGTCCAGAAGACTCCAGAAGCAATTTCTTGATGGGAATCCTCCAAGACCCCTGAGGGGCCAGTCCCTAGTTTTGCACTGACGGACCTGCAGAAGCTACCAAAGTCATCAGACACTTACATCACAGAAGCTCAAGACCAAATTGTCAGACCCCGACACCACTACCTGGCGCTAAACGCCACGTTGGCTAGAGGGGAACTTATGCCAACGATCAGAAACTACATGAAACTACAAACTACAACTAACTAACTATTCTGTTGTCAAACGCACCATGTCACCGGTAGTCTATGACCACTGTAGCAACATACAAATTCACCCCCACTGCACTTGACTCACTTCAAAAGTCAGTCGGAAACACTTCACTCATGGGGTGAAAGCAGACAACATCAAGAGAGGTGCAGGTGCACCGCAGGTGCACCACTGTACCATTGACAAGCACCGGTTCATTAACCGTTAGTGACCACCAAAAGAAGAAGAAGAAGAAGAAGAAGCAGCAAGCACTTCACTTGCAGCGGACACATCCGCTCACCGTTTGTGGCGCAAACGCCACCATTCCCTTGGTGTCCTGGTATATTGATCTGGCATTCTCACCTATGCACCAGTGGTAAACATGTCTTACCTGACCAGTGTGACTCCACCACCACCACCACCACCACCACCACCACCAGCAGCACCAGCACCACCACCAGCACCACCACCACGACCACCACCACGACCACCACCACCACCACCACCATGACCACCATGACCACCATGTGCTAGAATTCCCACTTCACTGTTCACCTGTGGTATGTGGACTTCAGACTCACTTGATTTGAACACATCAACCAACACTACCAATGTTTGCACTTTTGTGTCTCGATCACTTCGTTTTTTTCCTCTAAAAGACATCCGGGTCGCTGGTTATTTTCTAGCTTTCAGCTAGGTATTCCTGAGTGAAGGGTCGAGTTCCAGTGTTCCTTAGTACGGTTATGAAATGCAATAGCTGTCCAGCTGAGATGTGGTGTGTTGCCTTGATGATTGTTTTTGTCTTGTCCCCAAAGCCCGCCTGATGACGTCAGGATAGACGATGAGTAATTTCATCTAATTATTATATATATATATATATACAGCGAGGATGTTTTTAAGTCCGCGGGATGGGGGGGTAGGCCGCGCTAGAACTAGCAAACGGTAGCTAGTAGATCAAGTAGTTACTACTTAGGACGTAGGATAGCTCACGCTCCCACTAATGATTTGGATCCTAGATTTTCAGGGACACTTATATAACTAAAAGAATTGCCTCCAACCTAATAACGATGGCCTCCAACCTAGTAGCGATGTCATCTAATTATAGTATCAAGGTAGTGGTTATTTATCTTCAGACATCCTTCACTAGAGTACCCTTTTGCAGTGTTTCCAACTTAACATCTTCAGGTGTCGCATCCCTGGCTCCTTAGATGAGTTAGTTTGAAAGCTAGTTTAGTGATCCCCAATAGATAAAGAGTAGCTTCTTCGAGCCGGTATGAGATTGAACACCAGCATCCGCATATGAGTACATCCAAATCATATTTCCCTTCAATCTCCAAACGTTTTTTTTGAATACAGCCGTGTTTCACACCATTTCCATTTGTTTGGGCACCTTCAGGACCTTTGCCGGATCTGCACAGCGAGCCGCGAGTGGTGGGGCTATGCGGATGCCGAGGCAAGTTTTTGTTTCAAGCAATGCGGCCGATGTGATGTTGATAAGCTATCTCAGAGATGGTGCCCGACAACTTGAGCGAGGTCTTCAAATGGGTTTTCATCTAGTTTTGATCAGATGTTGTTGTGGCCCAAGCAGATCCGAGGTGATCCAGGCCTCCTCGCCAAAGGAAGCCTGTCAAACCTGTGTTGGGAGTTCCCACTAGTCACTTGTCACGACCCCAAATAAAACAACTGAACTGATCAAGCTGTGCCAGGCGTCCTGGCTGGTCTTAGCGCGGATGGTCACCATCCGGCCATTGCCCCCATGCCTGGAGCCAGGCGAAGCAGAACAATGGCCTCCACCCTACTAGCGATGGCCTCCACCCTGGTAGCAATAGCCTCCAACCTAAGTGCGGAAGAAACGGAGGGAAGAAGAGTCCAAGAGGAGTCCAGGGGTGTAGTCTTTATGAGTGTTGTGTTTCCGGAGAGTTTCACGGCTGGGCACGGGCTGGACTCATTTCGCAACAGGTGGCTTTGAGTAGTGATCCTTACAGCACTTGATGGTTTGGAAGCAAACACCTAGGGCCTAGGGTCTTCTGAAGATTCGATACTGTAGAATGATAGGACATGACCCTTTGATAGTGGTTTTCAAAGTCCGTCGTAAGGGGGCATTGAGGGAATCATGTGCGAGACGTCAATCGTATCCTACTTCGGGGTTTATATACTTGAGGATCGATGTAGAGAGGCTCACAAAACAAATCATGTGTATATATATACAGTACAGTATATATTTATTTGTAAAATTGTTATATGATTCAGAGAATATTCAAAACGGGTGAGAAACATTCTTTTTACAATCCCTCCTGCACAAACACATGCAAACTATTTAAGAAGCTTGGAGAGAGCACAATTCAGTGTTATTCAGAGAAATGCATTAACCCCTTCCGATCTGAATAATAGTGCAAGAACGACCTCACAAGCCTGTGAATGGCCCTGAGCAAACCGTAAGGTGAAGAGTCCGGAACAATGTGGTTTGCATCACTAAATCGAACATGGAAACATGCTGGTATGTGAGAGTGATCAGCTCTCACTTCCCGTACAATCAGGTAGCTTCGTTCGACATGGTCCCTGATTGCATGCCATGCCATGTCTGCCTGCTGCTGAATTTGTGCAAAAGCGCAAGAGAATGAATGAGAAAGAACCGAACGCAGGAAAAGTGTGGATAGTACCCTGGAAATGGTGAGAGGCACACAGACACAATCAGGAGGATAATGGGCTGTTGTCATTTTCCGCTAGGATATTTTTCCGCTAGCATTTTGGAGCTCTAGAAACACATGAAGAACATTGTTTGTGTTTGTATCCAGGAGTCACAGGAGTCCACTTCCTGGACTGGTTTCTTGCTACCTCAAGGTCGGTCTCGTGCGGTTTTCTGCGAGTGCTGTGGCAGACAGGCTCTCGTGATGTCAATTCTCGCGAGGTTCCACAAGGGAGGGAGGGAGGGACGGAGGGAGGGAGGGAGGGAGGGGGGTGCTCCAGAGAAATGTTTCAACAGGTTCTGCGTGAAGTGTTGATCCCAGCGGAAGTATGAGATCCCATTTTCTGAAAGGAATCTAATTTTGTCTTCAGGGCTAAGGCCAATGTTTGGGATGAATGAACTAGGGAGCCGTTGGAGGTATTGTCCATGTAAGACGCCGCTCGATGAGGTGCAGGAAGCCGGTTCGAAGAGTATTACGTGGTCTCATTTGCTTGTCAAAACCCACATCCCTGGGTTTTCGTTGCATTGACCATGTCAATCAAAGGAAAGCTCTTCGTCCGGTTGCCAGGGGGCATCCGCTAAGATATGAGTCTCAACTCAGTTGTATCACCTCATAGGGTGGTCAGGAATCCGATCTCTTGGCATTGACTTCCGGGTAGATCAACTGCTCCAGGGTGCAAGGCCAAAAGGAACATCTCGCTAGAAGAAAGCCGGCACCAGCCGAAGTACTAAGAAAGGCTCGAGCCTGGTTGAGAACTTGGTTCCCTACCTCAAGTAGTACAGAATTTCTTCCAGCGACAAATCATTCTTGTTGGGAATGTATCCTGCTGTGTCTTCTGTTACAGTAGGTCTCTTTGCCAGTATATTCGCCTCCCCCAGGCTTAGGCTGATTCGCTCCTTTTCATAATCCTCCCCCAAGATCGCCCAAGCACTCAGGTTTTATATTATAAGATGTTTCAATCGCGCCCCCAACATTACAGGGATAGTCTGCAAAGTGAAAGTTCCACAACTATATGGTGGTGGCTGGCATTCGCCTCGCTTGTTGGAATTCGTTTGGCTTCCAAAATTTACCCACAACATCCCAAAGCCACAGACCGTGGATGGTGTTTTGCAGGTAGAGCTTCCACAACTCTGGATCCCATCCTAAGGGTGGAACCCAGTAACTGTTGGAATCCCCAAAGACCCACATTAAACAACGGGGTTAAGGTTGGTCGTCACTGTTTTAAACTTTGGACGTCCTGTTTTGTAGTCTTTGGGCCTATGAGACTGTTTGAGGAGTGTCTAGATTACTGGTCTTCAGTCTTCACCAAGCTCAACCGTGCGTAGTGCTAAGGGATCTGCAAAAGCGCGGCTTTTGCAGATGTACATTCCTGCCTTCAAAGTAAGGTGTCAGGCACGTTGCGGAGCTGGTGGACGGGGCATGGGATCTAGCAATGTATCGAAAGTCTCCAAGATTGTGGAGGACCTTATTTCTGCGTATATGCAGCATGCAAGTGTACAACGACAACCTAGAAAGAGTTACAGACAGTCACAAAATCATAGCGATAGTGTCTTGTCGAGCAGGAGTCGAGCCAAGCCCGACAGTCATGAGACCAATCAGTTTCGATATAGGGGTTCCTTAGGACAAACAATTTACACATCAGCAACGACCCATTCGGTATCACAGACGGACGATGTATTCTCCCAAAAGTCAGCAAGTGCTGCATGTCCAGTTGTATCCACCGTATAGACTTACTTCGCAAGCAGCCCTTGCTTTTCACAGCTGGCAATGCCTAAACGATCTTAAAACTACGTACCTTTACCTTCACCATGGACACAACATGACACAACTTTTTACTGCAAGATGAAGATTTCCCTTGTTTGGGCTTAGTTTTCGGAGCCGTGGTCATAGTCCCCTTGAAACCTACAAGTTCGTGTCAGTTCTCAACACTGGCCCGCTTTCTTAGCCAGGGCATTGGGGAGTGCAGGATGGCTCTGTGCATCTCTGTGTGGTGTTATGTAACGAGGGTATTTGTGACCAACGTGCCGAAGTCGAGCTAGCTGCTAGCTGCTAGCGGTAGGCTTTGAACCTTCCAAGCAGTTGGTGACCTAGCTTGTGAGATTCTTGGATCCATATGGACCCACTGGTCTTGGTTCGGTGGTTTTGACCGACACACGGTTTCATCTCCTTGCAACGAGTAGAGCAGTCACTATTGCCTTTGGTGAGTTCCGAAATCCACTGCTTCAAAAAACGCCAACATTAAAACACGTTCAGATGGTCCGTCCGAATATCACTCTCTGACCATCCGTTTGGTTGGATTGGGTCACCCAGATCCACCTGAAATACTTGCAGTAAGGCTATTGCTGGGATTCTCCACGTGTGTGATTGACATGCATACCGTTTTGGAAGGTTTTGAGACAATGACGACTCGAACATTGATTGAAACTCAATTCAGTAGTTGAGGGCTGTACCTGGCATCAGGGGCCATGTTGGTGAACAGGTCCAGAAATCATAATAGATCAACTCCTTTGCGTCCATGTTTTCATCACATGGACCAACTCTTCACATCAACTCTGACTTCCCTTAGTTTCCAGAAGCCCCGTGTTTGACAGGTGCGGCAGCTTTTGCGCCGCATCGCAGGCTGGGATTACTTTGACCGTTGGAGGGAGTTAACCAGGTAGTGCAATCTTATTTCAATGGAGGGTGGGAGCACTGAAGTCCAAAAGTAAAAGGAAATAGAAGATTGTAGACAGGACTGGGTGACCTGTTCCCCAAAGAGACTCCGTTCGCCAACTCCGTTGTCCGCAGAGTGGTCGTCTGGGCAATTGTGACCAGGAAGTTGCCCTCATGTGGACAACAGAAGACCAACAGGTAGTCCTTTGAAGACCAAAGCTTTGAGGGACTGCTTCGGCACAAACAAGTTCCACACACCTGGCAGCCAGCAGTTCGAGTATATATATATATGTATATATACACTCACTTACTTGCAGAAGGGTTGAAAAAGCTTTTGAACGCTGTCACTGTTCGGTGTTTGCACACGTATCCCAGTCATTTTTGAGGCTGTCGGGTGCAGGAAGATGCAGAGTTTGTGGCAAACAAGCTGAGATGGCGACCGCCCTGCAAGGGAGCCTACTATACGTATATTAATAATAGAGAGAGAGAGAGAGGGAGCCAGCATCACTTCTAAGTCTTGCCAGGTGGAGAAGAACATTACAGGACCTAAAGAATCTCCAAGTATACTTGCTCTTGTAAATCGCCACCATCCACACGCCAGGCTTTTGGCATTTCTGGTCTCCGGCTGCTGCCTTGGCCCTCCGGCCGGGCCTGAGCGAGGTGGAGCTGCAGCGCTTTGAGCAGTTGCTCGCAGAGCGAGTTGAGCGAGGGGGACGTGTGTCACAGCTGCCGGAGGCCTGGGGAGGGCCGGGGATGTGGCGTCAATTTTGCATGGTTTATTCTTTTTCCTCACCTGTCAGGTGAGGGTTGTTAGACTTTCTGTCAGCCGCCGCCGCCGCCGCCGTCGTCGTCGTCCTCCTCCTCCTCCGGACCTCAACCTCAAGTGCAGGATGACAGTGTTCCCCGACGGACCTCAACCGCGAGCTTCGGTTGGCAGTGTTCCCCGCCGGACCTCAACCGCGAGTCAGAAGATATGCCAGATAGAACGCCAGAAAGAATGTCAGAAGGAATGTCAGAAGATATACAAAAGATATGCCAGATAGAATGTCAGCACAAATGTCAAAAGGCATGCCAGAAAGAATGTCAAAAGATATGCCAGAAAGAATGTCAGAAGATATGCCAGATACAATATCAAAAAGAATGTCAGAAGATATGCCAGAGAGAATGCCAGAAGATACGCCAGAAAGAATGTCAGAAGACTTGCCAGAAGGAATGTCAGAAGATATGCCAGAAAGAATATCAGCAGATATGCGGGAGATAGAATGTGGGAATGAATGTCGGAAGAGATGCCAGAAAGAATGTCAGAAGATGTGCCAGATAGAATGCCGAAATATTTTTTCAATGCGGTACATGCCAGGAAACTTGTCAGATTGAAATGTCATGGTGGGATCACTCGAAGTAAAGTTCTATTTTTCTTTGGGGGGGGGTAGGCTGCTAGGAGGTAGGTTGTGGCTAGAGGCAGGTAGCTAGTAGTACCAAGGGAGTCACTAAATAGTACCTGCAAGTAAGCTACTACCTACCGGACGCGGGGGAAGCTTCCTTGAAGAAGCGCTCAGGCTATTCACTTGGCTGCTAGATTTGTGGAAACTGACTGTAGCTTGACATTTTGTTTTTGTCCAGGTCCTTGTCATCCCAACATAGGGTTGAGGTGGGTTCATTGTTGGAAACTGAGATTCCTATTCTCCGGTGGATTGTAGTACTGCAAACCTTTATACTGTATACCTTATAATTCTGGGGTCTTCCGCATGGTTGCTTACCTGAACTCCAAACCACCGAAGCTTAAGCCCAAGCCGCCATTGGACGGCGTGGATCCACATAGACATATATAGATCAGCACATTCTTAGCTGAAAGGAGGGTTCCTGGTTTCCTTGTCGTGTCGATGGTGACTAGTGGTTGATATCGAAGGCTATCCCATTACGATGCCCAGGAACCACCAGACATCACCAGACGTTAAAGTAGATGGCACCTGTTGTCGTTTGGGGGTCTCCATATTCTGAGACACACCCCACGTAGCTCGGCAGGATTCCTGAATCTACCATCAATATACCGTAGCATCTATTTTCCTTCAGTCCCAGCTTCTCTGTGAGTGTGGGGATTGGCAGGAGAATGAGAGAACGGGGAATTTTGCCAAACCTTTGGTTTTCCTGCTGGATTTTTTCGAGATGCCTGATTGATCCATCAATTGACCCAACAATGATGTCGAAGTCCTCATCCTGGCAGCATTGCGGTGTGGCAGAAAACCAGGCGTGTGATACCCCAGATGCCAGGATTTCGCCGAATTCCTCCGCTGGTGCGATGGCTATGAGGTAGAGGCACGGCTGAGCTAGGGCTGCTAGGGCCTAGGGGTGTCGGTTCTTCATGTGGGCGGTGTTTTTTTCCTGGAGAAACATGCTGTCGACGGACAAATCTCAAGTTCCGAAGATACCCAGGGGTAGTGGGATCGGCTTCAATGCCGCTAGAGTCACTCCAACAGCCTGGCTGAACTGGCAGTCCACATGCACACATTCAGGTGGACAAAAACTTCATAAACATGCACAAACATATGTGAACACCAAGGGGCAACATACTCTTGGGAATTTGTACTTGGCTTGACCGAGATTTGGGTGCAACACTGGAAAGATTTGGAAGCACTTCAGGACTTTGGGGATTCAACGATACCCAGGTGAATACCAGAACAACACCCCAAGATTAATAAAGGATCATAAAGGCATCCACTCACAGCGATTTGTGTCTTTATATCAGCCCAGGACCTTCGGAAGAAGCCAACATCGTTCACAGAAGTGGCAGCTGTAAATTGACAGGGACACCCAAAGAACAAGTCCAAATTCTTCAGCTAACAGTACCTCAAAGACTTTGGCTTGTGGATGGACATACTGTACTCTGCTTAGGACATACTGTACACGTTCAAGCTCAATGTGGGTCTATTCAGGGGAGTAGGAACCATGATAGTGATATCTAAATGATCCTCCTAACTTCAAGAGTTGTAACCAAACCGTGCAGAAGTCCACCCATACCTTTCAGAATACTGACCCGACCTTTCCTTGAAAAAGCTCGAATCCCATGGACACAGTTTGCGCAATCCGTCTTTCCAGTTTTGTCCTGAGGCGAAATCTACCAATGGATGTGACGTTGTGACCTTCGTAGATGTAAACCTAACCCGTCGTGCACGTGCACTCTAGGCCTTTTGGTGCGCTGAAGCGCAGCCGGGCGCCTTGGCCTTTCGCGTTTGCCGGTTGCTTTGCAGCGCTGAGATCGTGGCCCAGGCACGTTCACAGCAGACGTTTTCGTGCATTTTCGCGCAGTTGGAGGTAGAGCCAAGTGTCCACCAGGACGATTTGTTGATTTGACGGCTCTCACAAAACTTGGAACTCGACGGGCGGCAACGGCACCCACGGTAAATCCAGTGAATTGAAAATTATCAGGACTCACAGGATCCATGCAAAAACAACCCCAACGACTCCAATCCTTGCTTTTTGTCTTCGTTTCTTCTGGGGAGGACAATTTAGGGCAGTACTCTTGCGTCCAGCCACTCAGGAATGAACAGCAAACAAGGAATGCACATCATCATTAGTACTTGGTTACTATCCCAGAAGTTCCTTTGTATGGTCAATGGTCAATCAATCCAGACAAGCATCCGGAACAAACTCACCTGGAGGAGAGCCCGGACTACGCCGGACTATCTACTGTATGTTTTTTGCTATAACATTTAAGGGCTGACGCCCCCTGCCGCCGACCCCAGCCAATCAAGACACAGCAACCACAGCGAAGAATCCAACGGTTTCTTGAAAAAGACGCCTACCCGTGGCCGGGTGGCTGTGCTCAAAGCAAAGTGCAGAAAAGCGAAGTGGCCGATGCATTGTGTGATGGCGTTGTGGTTTTGTGGCAGCGGGTTTTGTGATAGCGTTGCGGGTCTTTGGCTATGACGTGTGTCGAGTGCAACCGTGGGATTGATGAGCGTGACATGGTGCTGAACTTACATCTGTTTTCCATCTTTTTAGGGGTGGTGTGTCCCTCTCCCCCTGCCTGAGACATAGTCAAACGTTGCTTTCTGACGGCAGTAAAAATCCTCTTCCCTTCCAGAAGCTGTTCTCTCACCTCCCACGGGTCTTCTGGCCGGTAGACACCTGCTCCCAGCGATCTCCTTCGCCACGCTTTCCACAATCTAATTCCACAGCAAAAACGACCAAAAATTCGTCCTCAGAGCTTCTCTCTCACTTCCAAATGTTGCTTTCTGACGGCAATAAAAATCCTCTTCTCCTCTTCTCCTTCCAGAAGCCCTTCTCTTACCTCCCACGCGTCTTCTGGCTGGTAGACACCTGCTCCCAGCGATCTGCTTCGCCATGCTTTCCACAATCTAATTGCACGCCAAAAATGACCAAAAATTCGTCCTCAGAGCTGCTCTCTAAAAATCCTCTTCTCCTCTTCTCCTTCCAGAAGCCGTTCTCTTACCTCCCACGTGTCTGCTGGCTGGTAGACACCTGCTCCCAGCGATCCACGCTTTCCACAATCTAACTCCACGCCAAAAACGACCAAAGCTTCGTCCTCAGAGCTGCTCTCTCACTGCCAAACGTTTCTTTCTGACGGCAATATAAATCATCTTCTCCTCTTCTCTTCCAGAAACCGTTCTCGCGCCTCGGCCGATATATTTGTATATATATATTTCTACTTTTATGTGTGTATATATTGGGCTCAATCAGGGTTAGGTGATACTGGCTTGCCAAGTCATTTGCTTTACGTCATAGTTTGCTCACCAGCCCCAGACTTGCCATTCAGCTGGTGTGGGGTCTGAGGTGCTTCAAGCGGACCCCAACGTGCAAGAGAAAGTAACTCAAATCTTTGTCCATTTACACTTTGAATCATTCGGATCCACAGCCAGATCAGTGCGACTTGCGCTATTTTGATGATGAATGTCCCCATCTCCACCACAAGTTGACCCACAAGATTTTGGAAGTCAGAGATTTTCACCACCGCACTGCTTGATGTGCTCTTCACGCCGCTGCAGGCTGCTCAAATCTCCTCTGGGTGGCTTCCCGTCTCCTGCTCACGGGAGGTGGGACCGGCAGAGTTCAGCCGTCCATCAGGCAGCATTTGGACGAACTCTGAGGTACATGGTTTTGGAGGCTGGTCACAAGTCACCAGGTGGTGAGAGTTGTTTACAAGAAGGTCCCACCAGCCCTAACCTCGAGGCAAGGTCCACCACACAGCAATATTACTTTCCCCCTTTGCTAGGTTCTGCGGTATTTCTTATTTCAATTTTGTATTTGGGAATGTTCCTTGCACTTTCTGTGTTTGTGTCACTTGGTGATGTATGTACCTCGCCCCGCTGCGGCTTGCATTCTAGGGCGCCTTGACCTGCTTGCGCCTTGAGGAAGAGGACTGAGAATGCACAGCCCAGGATGAACGGGTGGATATCATCCAACCACCCATAGGACTATTTAGCAATTAAATGGGGATTTCCAAATCATACCTTTGCAGAGCAGGACATCCTTTGCTTGAGCAGGGGAACCCTCTATTCCGGACTTTCCCTACAACTCTTCATGTACCAACAAAACGACGAAGGGTAAAGATATATAAGTGTAGATGTTGCTGGTAGAAGGATTGGTTCAAACATCAAACACAAGGCTTTGTGGTCATTCATTCATTCATTCTTTCTTTCTTTCTTTCTTTCTTTTTTTCTTCATTTCATTTCATTTCATGTCATTTCATTTTCATTTTCTTTTCACTTTCACTTTCATTTTCATTTTCATTTCATTTCATTTGACTTCATGTCGTTTCATCTCATGTCATTTCATTTCATTTTCATTTTCATGTTCATTTCATTTCATTTGACTTCATGTCGTTTCATCTCATGTCATTTCATTTCATT